TTGTATGTTATGGACCAAGAAGTCCCGTTTCTTGCAAAATCCAATCCTCCCAGATGTTGCTTTATTGGGTTTTTTTCTCTTCAAATTTTCATCAGTGAGGAAGTAGTACATCTCCAAGTTACAGGGGTGGGGGGGGGGGGGGCAAGGAGGCTTCAAAAACCTTAGCTTTATATCTGGTTTGACTAATATTTTTCTTCAGTCAAAAATTCATAAGAATTCCTGCTCCGCTCAAACCCAAATAAAATGTTACTGACCTGGGACGAGAGAATTTGGTGTCCCCATAGTCTGTAAAGTCGCAGGACTGAGGTCATGCATCTAGGACCTGTAAGCCAAATCATGAGACATGGCCGAGATTTTGGAATCGTCCCCCCCCCCACCTTCCGCCCACGCCCACGCCCATACCTTCTGCCCCCGCCCACATTCCAGTTTGGCTAATAATAAATTTTTTTAGTGCTTATGTTATATATATTGCTTTCCAGCAAATTGTATACTCGTGGGTGTAGAGAGGCAACTGTAGTAAAGTGTCTTGCCCAAGAACACAAGCACCATGTTCCCCATCAGGGTTTCAACCCACGTACATTGTAACATGGTCGAACACTGTAACCATTGGACCACAGCGCTCCACGGTGATACTTCATGAATGTTTAACTTGTATCCCACCCCCCTCACACCAACTCATGCACCCAAGACTCTTAAATCATCCGCCAAGTTGTAGTCTGGCATCCCAGCCAGCTTCGCCGATATTCCCCATGTTACTCACCTGCCAACCCTCATCATGAACGGCTCGCTGAAATATTAAACAAACAGGCTTGTCAACTCCGGGCCTTCTTCCAAGGCATTTCAATATTGATGCTTAGGAATCTCTCGATCCCCCCTCTCCCCCCCCCCCCCCCCCCACCATTCCCAAAGAGATCCTCTCACTAGCCTGTCATCATATCGCCAATATTTTATGGTGAGAAGCCTTTCCCTTATTGTATGTAAACTCACAAGTGTATTATTTAGGTTTGTTGACACGATGTGTAATTGAAAATTGATGATGCGTGGCTAGGAGGCATCCAACAAATTGGGTTTTTAGGTTTTGACCGGATACTTGTAAAGTCTGCGGAATATTCGGTTATAAGGGGAGGGAAAGCAAATGAAAATAAATTTTGGGGGTGGGGGTTAAGTTTTGCTAAATTGAAAGTTAAAGGTAGAGAAGATCGTTTTGCAGCTATCCAAAAAGTACCGTAACTGACAAAATTATTGTTGAAAAGCTTACTTGGGTTAAAGATGGGGATGGCAATAAACTCCCTGTGAAATTATTCTTTCTGGCATGCTGTCATTTTGAAGACAACAATAAAAGAAGGCCGTTTCCTAAAAAAATTCAGTTAGTAGTTGGTTTGTAATTCAGCGAATCTGTGAATAGGTGCGTACAAGCTTTAATACGACGTACACCTGCACGCGGTCGCTATTGTTTGTCAGTTCAGTGTGTGACTTGACTTCAACTATGAAACGTAACATTAAATATTTTTTAAATGCGATTTTCTTTTTTTATTGAAGTAACGTGTAAACTTGTGCCTTAACTTCAAATCTGCTTGTACTGACCAGTGTAGTAATCTATTCCTTTGCTGCAGGCGATTCTTTAAAAATTAAACCTAATTTATATTTTTTGGAAAAAAAAAAGTGGCAATTTTTCCCCATATCTTTACTGGTTTGTAAGAACACTTCTGGTCTGGCCAGTATTTTTAGCCACTAAACAGTCCTTTAAATATTTTGAATAATTTAATTTCTTTCTGGTTATGAAACCAAGGATTCCTCATAAGTGCCCTGTAGGCACTGTAGCTCAAAAGCTCGTAGAGAGAAAACAGTGAAAAGAAATTACAGTTTTTAGAGGTGGGAGGAAAACCCCAGCAGAATATTCCTGTTAAAAAAACCCACGTTATCAAGTAGGGACTGAAAACCCAATCAACATATTGGCCCAGGCAGGAATCGAACCCGGGCGAGCCAATTCTAACCGGAAAGTTTAACCTGCACTGAGTCAGAGTGTTCTTTTCTCTGTCAAACCACCAGCGGATCCCCATGAAGGACTTCAGCAACGAGGTCCGGGCCACTCTGGACGTGGACAACTTTGTCCTGCAGGCGTCCTTGCTCCTAGACATCACAGAGAACTCGGTGGAGTCCATCGTGGACCTGCTGGTGGAGAAGCTTCTGGAGGGAGACGAGAGGGAAGAGGTCATCACTAAGGAGGTCAAGTCAGCGCTCTTCAGCCATGACTCAGGTAAGAATGGAATGTTTTACGCTACTGGATTCGTACTCGAGTCGTTGTGACTAATGGTTTTTCCAATGTTTGAGATTCGTCTCGGCCATCCAGCCCGATCCCAGGCAGCACGAACAGCCTGATCGTGTTTAAGGCTGATGGCATTAAGGTCGTCTAAGATCTAGAGGTATGTGCGGCACAGGCCTCCTCCATGTCGGAAGTGCTCCGATGGAGCGTGGTAAACTTTGAGCAAAGTGTATTAAAAAAAAGAAAAAAAGAATCCAAAAAAATTATTTTCAAAAATAAACCACAAGGGGGCACTGACTATAATAATTTAGAAATGTATTCATTTATATTGCGCAAATTCCATATGAATATGTTCAAATGCGCATCACATACAGTTTGTAAGCTATACTCCAAACATGCTCAGAGAGGCCGCATTATGCAGCCGATCCAGGAACACCGGGGCAAGCCCCTTCTCTTTCAGGATAAGTGTCCTGGGTGTTTGATGTGCATTACACAACGCACAAGACAGTTTAACGTCTCATTGGAAAGAAGCGGGCTTGAAGGAGCCCAATCATGTCTCAGACAAGCAACCCATCCAACCACTGACCACAGTCAGTGGTGCTAATAACTTGGCAGTTATATACCACTAGCTCTTCCATTGAGCTACCGTACCTGATCGGTCAGAGTATCAAAAGCATCAAACAAATGAATTACTGATATTGATCCATGCTGTCAGAAGTTACCAGGGTTATATTAAAAGAAGCGATTTTTCTAGCTATCCATGGAATGCCATTGGAAGCTATTGGGCTGAGTGAGAATTACTGATTACACACACGCATTCAGATACAAATTAGATTTTAATCATTTGAGTCAATTCTGAAACATTATTTTTACTATCAGATATTGTGTTTTGAATATGAGGAACAAGTCAACTTTTTTTCCCCCTGAAATATTGATGGCGATTGTTGTCTGTTCCCCTTTGTAAGTGTTTGTTCATTCATGGAGGTGGGAAAACGTCCATGTATATGTTTCATTGTATTTAATAGGCATTCATCAGTTCATAGAACTGTAAATGATCAGTGGTGGTTAGCTAAATTTTGTGATCATTTTATTAAAATAGACATTCATGTAACTTGGGAATAGAGTATATCCAAAATAAGTGAAATTTTCTCAGTTATAGTCAATAACACGTACTTCATCCCCATGTTATTTTTATGAAATGGAGGAGCCACATATTTCTAAAAATATTTTTTTCTACTTTTCTATTTTTTCTCTCACCCTGTATGTACATGTACATTGATTTCATTATAAAAAAAAAAAAAAACCAAACAATTGACCTAAAAATAATGCCCATAAATTGGAGACAGCTTTTGTCATAACGTTGCTTTTTTTCATAAATCTATCTTTTCTTTATGATCTCTGGCCCGGATCCCCCAAAGATTAACTTTAAATGAAACATATCCTACTGAAACCAATACATGCCATCGTCGCACACCTTCAACAAAACAATCTGGTATCCTTGCCACAGGCAGCTGCACCACCAGAACTCTTCAGAAAAAAAGAAAAAAAAACTTACAGCAAGGATATTATGAGCATTCTTCCCAGTAGGGGTAAGCATATCCCCTGCATAGTTCAGATTTCACGAGTGCTTACAGATTTAGGCCGTAATTTTTTTTTTTTTAAGAAGGACACATTTTTTTCTTCATCATCCCTCCAGTTGCTCAATCCAATCTGTCATCTCTAGAGGTCTTGGAATTGTTAACGCCAAAATGATTTGCAAATATTTTTTTTTAAGACGGACATAATTTTTCTGACTGTCTTGTCTTTTTTGTTAAATATATATTCCCGTTAGTTTAAAGGCCATGAACATTTTTTCAGTTTAACAAGATGAAGTGTGGAAAGTCTGTCAAGGAATATCCGTTTCTGTTTTCGTTTCTTCTTCGGTGTAGCATGCTCTATGAAAAGAAGTCTTCCTAAGGCTGTGTAGGATATCCGAATATCAGAATATTTGATCACCCAGCGAGAATAGTATTTTACCAAACAGAATATTCGGGGAAAAAATGTGAGCTGTCGTGAGAAGATGCCAAAAAATGTGTATGATGTAATTTTATTTGTATAAGTAGAGAGTATGTATTATTTGTCAAAAGCCGCAGTTTTCTGGACAGCCGTTTTACACACAAAATTTGAAAGCTTCCGTGAGAAATATTAGCCGTAATTTGCATGTTAAAAATCTTTCAAATACCATCTAGTCAACTATCTCAAAAATATACATCAAAACACTCATTATTTTCATAAAAAAGCTTTTACCTAAATATCAATGATTGATTATTTGAATATTTGTTCAAGTTCCAATATTCGAATACTACATTGTTCGAAAAAGCACAGCACAAACTCTCCCTTTTTTATGAATTAGCAACCTTCTTGATGACATTTGTTTGTTTTCATTGTACATTGTAGCTTATCTGATTTCAGTATAAAAATCATATCGCTTACAGTTAACCCCATCTCAGAATAAGTAGTCTAAGATTTTGGAATTTACACGTATTTTTTCAAAATTTGCCCAGAACTTCTGGAAATGAGTGGCTTCATGGTTAAGAGAAAACACACAGAATAATCTGCCATTCTGTGCTGGAAATGGTACCTCCGACTTGACAGTGATCCAAAGTAAAGCAGACAAGCTCCATGTCGCTGAGATCAATTAATTGCAGTCCGCAATCGCTGTAACGATCTTTCCCAAAGCAGATGAACCACGTCAAACCGTGGGGAGCCTGCTCCATCACTCGTCTGCCGAGAATTCTCGTCACCATGACAGCGTCCTCGAAAAAAAAGAAGAAGCGATATGACATCACAGTGTTGATGACGTCAGTGACGTTTACTTTTTTTATTCATTATTTTTTTTTGGAGGACTAGTGGGGTTATTCTCATCCCAAGTTCTGTGAAGCGATCGAGCTGAGATGATGCTAGCACATAGTCGTGAGTGACAAGCGAGCGATTACTTCTATCGGCCAGGTTTTTTTTTAACCAACGCGCGGGGCAGATGTACATGCACATGTATGTGCCTGCCTGACATTTTGATGTATGACTTCCTGTGTGTCTCTGATTGCAAAGCTTAGTCATTAGTGGACGCTTTCGCCAGCTGGCTTGAGAAAGAGGGGGGGGGGGGGATGTGCTTGCTATGTATCCCTCGCCCCTTTTTATTATATACATATAATTCCGGAAACCGGTTTGAACATGATGCCCGTTATCACATTAATGGATGTAACTGTCTATTTAGCAGTGACACTTTCCTGTAAATATTTCCGGGTGTTGTTGATAATAGTGTCCTCTGTTTAATGGATGATGTTGATATGGGATCTGGCAAGTGGAATTTTTTTACCGAGAACTCAATGGTGTTGTTTTGCGCACACGCGGTCAAAAACACTTGTAAGAACATTCTGGTATGAACATTGCAAGTGGATTCAATGCTGTGTTTATGTTTGCAGTAAAGTCTGTCTCGAGCCAATGTGGCCCATCAGGCCGGCGTTTGTCTCCGGTTTCAATAGCATGAAACGACTGAGAATATTTGTATTCCCCCTGGATGGGATGCTAGTCCATCGCAGGTTACTCCCAGCTAATGCTGGTACCCATTTATACTCCTGGGTGGAGAGAGGCAAGTGGGGATGAAGTGGCTTGCCCAAGGACACAACATATATATGGCCAGTGGCTGGATTCGAACCCCTGACCCTCTGACCATCTGATCACGAGTCACAAACCCTAATCGTTAAGCCACACTTTATGAAATTTCTACCACTCATTTTAATTATTGTTGGGAAATGCCTCTTCCAAAAAAAGAAAAACCTTCAAAATGTACCCAAAGTTTCAATTTGATTAATATTTATTCAGTCTTTTGCCGAAGAGCACAAAAAAACCCCAAACCAATGACAGGCAAAACAGCCGTGTGATTTTTGATCCTGTGTATACTGTTATGTAAATATGAAGGATTGCACCGTGCACGCGTACTGTCGCGGTTCTGCCTTACACCTGGCTTATTAAAGTGGTGTCTGTTTCTGGGTTAAGATTACCTGAAGCTGTCGCCCCTTTCTGGCGTATTGACGATAGGGCTTCGTCAGGCTGGCAGACTGAAGGGGGGAGGGGATGATCAGAGTCACAAGATCACATGACTTGCAGGTCCGACTGCGGTTATTGATCATATGAGGTTGGGGCTTGACTCGGTAATGCACACTGTGATCTAGTAGGGCCCACTTTAATGGTAGGGATCATTTGTCATTGTGCGGTTTGTTTTTCGTTTGAAGCAACAAAAGTGCTCAAAATCTAAAGACGGTGCTTATCAAGTAACCCGATGAAGTTTCAGCTCTGTGAATGCTGTTTATTCTGAGAAAACAATTTTCTAAGATCTCGGTTTCAATTCAAAAGTTGTTGAGTCGTGTTTTGAATTGCGCCCGAAATTGGCATCCGGGATGCATTCTCGTTCAGCTGATTCCAGCTATGTGATGTCACATACTTAACGTTTGCGTCGTGTCAACGCTTTTGCGCACCCGTTCATGGATTCGCCGAATTACAAACAACTAACGGTACTAGCAGAAAATTTCAAAAAACATCTTTGGAAATGGCCCTCTTTTAATATTTCTTTTCAAAATGACAGCATGCCAGAGGGAATAATTTCAAAGGGAGTTTAGTGCCATTACTATCTTTAAACAAGTACACCGTAAGCCTTTCAACAATAATTTGGCAGTTATTTTTTGGACAGCTGCAAATGATATCTTTACCAATGAGAGTATCCAGGACACGATATAGCAATGTGAACGATTTTGTGAAAATGTTATAATGAACTGTCCTTTTTACAGGTATCTGTAATTGTTTTGTACAGTGTAAAAGGTACATTGTACAGTGTGGAAGAATAGTTTCTCCATGTTTGGTTCACGTAAACTGTGGAAATATTGTATTTCTGTTGTTGTTTTGTTTTGAGGTGCTTAAAACCTCAGTGTGAATTTGTGAACCACAATACGTACCTCGGG